TGGTAGAGAAGGAGAATACATCCAACTGGGAGTGGTTCATCAACATGTTGAGAAACAAGTTGATCGGTCCTAATAGAGAAGTGTGTATAATTTCTGATAGACACCCTGGCATTTTGAACTCCATCATCCACATCATGCCTCATCACCTAACCATTCACCACAGGTGGTGCATGAGGCACTTCTGTGCTAACTTCTACACAGCTGGAGCTACGACTGATCAGATGAAAGATCTTGAGCGCATATGTCAAATAAATGAGAAAGCATTGTTCCTAGATGAGATAAAACGCCTCATGGGTGTGGTCGGAGAGAGGCCAAAGAAGTGGCTAGAAGACCATATGCCACTTAAGGTCAAATGGGCAAGAGCATTTGATACCAACGGGCGCTGAGTGTCCCACGGTCAGCGCCATTATGGCTGGCGCTGAGGTCCCAGCCCGCAAGCCATCCAGAAGGCTTGCTGGGCTGGGCCGTTTCGGCTGGGCTGGGCCATGGCCGAAACGGCCAAGTCCCACCTCAGCGCCAGGTGGGCTGGCGCTGAGTGTCCCACGGTCAGCGCCATTATGGCTGGCGCTGAGGTCCCAGCCCGCAAGCCATCCAGAAGGCTTGCTGGTCTGGGCCTTGGGGTTGCGGCCAAGTCCCACCTCAGCGCCAGTCCGGTTGGCGCTGAGGTAGCTGCCACGTCAGCTGGGGATCGGCCCGGCCGCCACGGTGGCACAATATCAGCGCCAGTCTCGTTGGCGCTGACACGGCCAACGTCAGCGCCAATGTGTTTGGCGCTGAGGCGACGGCCTATTTTTGGTTGAAGTTTTTGGCAGGGGTTAGTTTCGAAATAAGTTTTCTAAAAGGGTCAATTTGTCAAAAAAAAACGGCAAATTGAGTGCTTGCTGGGGACTTGAGAATGACTGGTGTTTATATATATGTATATATATTTAACCCAGCATGCTGCTATGGCCAACTGGAATCGGTATAGCTCATTACTCAAGACTTGTATTTGATTAATTTACTCTTCTTCCATACTGTACCTTGTGCTGCTTGCAGATTTATATTGAGGTTCAGTCAGTGGTCTTAAAGTGACGCCAAGTCATTTAAGGACTCGTATAATCTTTACTGTCTTATTGCCACGCTTTTAATTTCCCTCGTGTGTCATACTCAACATTATGTACATGGTTCATGCCATAACATATTTCATCTTTTTGTTTTGGCATGGTCCTTTAAGAGCACAAGGCTTCAGAAGCACAAGGAAGGGCAACACCGAAGGCAAGGAGAGCTTGATCACACCCCGCACCACCTATTCATGTCACAGGCAGCAGATTTCAGGTTGGCTAGCCTTTTTCCCTTTGTTTTTGCATGATGATATTTTAGCAAATCAAAGTGCCCGATTAATATTCCGATTCTACCACATCGCACACATCGGAAACAGAAAGAAAGAAGTTTCTCATTCCGTGCTTCATTTTTACTTCCTCCGTTTCGTTGTATTGTAGGGCGTTTTGATTTTTTTTTCCTGTAGTCAAACTTTTTTAAATTTAATCAAGTTTATAGAAAAATTTAGCAACATCTAAAACACGAAATTAGTTTTATTAAACTTAACATTGAATATATTTTGATAATATGTTTGTTTTGTATTGAAAATGCTACTATGTTTCTCTATAAACTCGGTCAAACTTATAAAAAATTAGTATGAAACAGATGGAGTATTATGTTTCCTTCTGTCTTGGATTTTCATGTTATGAATTGAAGTTGGTTGGTCAGTGTCAGGAAGAGAAACTTGAGGTTTTTGTTGAAATGTAAAGGGGTTTATTGATGTTTTCTTTTAGGTACCCCTTAATTAAATTAACTTTTACTCTTATTAGCTGACATGGTGTTATAAGTACAGGGTGGCACATGCTGAGGAACCAAAGATGGCAACTGGTAAAGAAATGTCAGGATCTATGAGGTCAGTATGGTCTTTTTGCCTCTATATCTTTCTATTTAGGGTACCCGGTACCAACTGATGTCAGGCTATATCTGGTAAATGAAAGTGGGATCTGTTTTGCATTGTCATGGGAAGAAAGTAGTGAGGTTCTAAGATTGGTGCATATCCTTATTGTCAGTGGCGGATCTTGATACTTTTTAAAGCCCGGGCAAATACATATGTGAAGAATTATATACACTGTTAATCACTGAAAATTTAAGGTATTGTAATGGTGTGATCCGCCGGTGAGTCCAGGCAGCTGCCCGGAGTTGCCGGACCTTGGATCCGCCACTGCTTGTTGTCCAGATATATTGTCATAATTGCTAGGTGAAGCTGAAAAAACCAAAATGTTTTCTTTTATGGATCTGTGGTAGTCTGCCGTCATGTGGTTTATCTTATCTACACGGTTTCATATAACTGGTTTCTGCTCTGCTATGTATAATTCTTCTATTTAAATGCATCATACTGATAGTGTTTAGTGGTATGACACGTGAGAATAATCAGATTTGTGAGTTAATATAGAACTGTGGGCTGCAAAATTAGTCGTTGAGCATTTAGATGTTTCTACGCCTCGCAATGGCACGTGCCCTATCAGGTAACAATAAGCATGTTGTAGCAGACAAAAGGATTTATATTTTCACTTGTTGACAAATTAGAATGAACTATAGAAAAAAATAGTCGTTGGTTACATGGAGCATTGTACTCGATGCAGAACAACCTTAATGAGAGCGAATGCCATTGGGGGGCAGAAGAACATGTTGGTGGTGTTCTTTTCTTCTAAAAATGAAGATGAAGATGATGATTAAGTTTTTTACGCAAAATGAGGTAGTATTAACGTATGATTGATTGAGTTTTAATTATTACAAACTTGAAAAATAGATTTGTATGATATTTTAGAGCAACTCTCTTGTAGAAAGTTTTCGCATGAAACGCACTGTTTAGCAGTTTAAAAAATATGTCACGAAAATCTTAATCTTCATCCAACTTTATTGGAGGAAAGAACATGACCAAGTTGTGTGATTGGGGGCATTGAGAGCGAATGCACGAGATGATTGCGCTGTTATTTCAGTATGACATCCCGTGCAGACCAGAACGTCCTACGAATGTGCTGCCTATGGTGGACCTGGTGGATGGAATGGTAAGAATTTGATATGAATGTGTTCTGCTCAACCATCTGAGAGTTTCAAACTGATCAACAGATGCTGTTGAACATCAATTGCTTTCTTCAGAGCTCACACAATTTCTGTCAATTGTGCAGCACTCGTCGTTCGCAGCTCAGGGTCAGCATTGGTGGTGCCTCATGACTGCAAGCGTCTTGACACCAAACTAATCATAGAGAGCAGTACAGATTAGTACGTGTCTGCGAATACAGCCTAAATTTATCAGGATTCAGGAAGAAAATGTTTGGAATTTGCAAAGGATTTGTAGAGCTGGAAATGGGATGCCATTTGGTTATATGCAGAAATAAGCTGCAAGCCTATAAGCGTATATGTAAGGTGCCATCAAATGCGGTGTATATCAGAAGTTTGTAACGAAAGTTGCAGCAATAAAACGGTACTCCTGCCACTATCTTATATATGTGTTAGTATGATTATTAGTCAAGAGTTATCGAGTTTGATTTTCCTCAAAAGAGAGAGGGTGCCATGTAATTCGGGACGGAGGGAGTATGGCTTTGTTTAGATTCTAACTTTTTATTCTTCAAACTTTCAACTTTTTCGTCACATCGAACTTTTCTACATACGCAAACTTTCATTTTTTCTATCACATCGTTCCAATTTCTTTAAACTTTCAATTTTAGCGTGGAACTAAACACACCCTATGTCACATTGTTGCTAGCTCTGCTCTAGCTGACTTCCTTCGCTTGAAGCGGAAAGCGCACCAATGAGACATTGTCACTAGCTCTGCTCTAGCTAACTTCCTTCGCTTGAAGCGGAAAGCGCACCGATGCACTCATCGATGATCGCTCGCATCCTGGAGGGCTCGAACTTCTTCCCGGTGGTAGAGCACGGCTCAAACATACACATCGGCGAACAGGTCCAGCGCGAAGCACGTGCTCAAGTTCTGTGAGTTCGATGGCAAAGAGGACACCTCACGTAGAGAACCCTGATGGGGCCAATGCGACATAGATGGTGTTGTCCGAAACGATGGCGGCCTGCCACCAGTCGCCTTTGCCCCTCCCTCACCAGCGATCGGGAACGGATGAGAGAGAGGGAAGATGGGAGTGGAATAGGAGATGGGAAGAGGGGAGGCTAGAGGAATAAGAAATAGACCTGACACGTGGGGCCCACTCACCACATCGGCTAAAATCAGGCTCTATACTGCTTGGAATATCGGGTACACCGGTTTTGCAAGTGGAGGGCCTCGTTATATGTACAATTATTACGGTTTGAGGACGAAATTAGTTACTCCCTCCGTCCCATAATATAAAGGATTTTGACTTTTTACTTGCACTGTTTGACCACTCATCTTATTCAGAAAATTTGTACAAATATAAAAAAGAAATATTGTGCTTAAAGTACTTTGGATAATAAAGTGAGTCACAAATAAAAGAAATAATAATTCCAATTTTTTTTAATAAGACAAATGGTGAGTTAAAATTGCTTATATTATGAGACAGGGAGTATTTCAACGTCAAGACGAGAGATCTAAAGTGAACTTATCCCTATATGTAATTAGTTGGACCTGTGTGGTAAAGGTCCAGCCCATTTAGCGCCTAGGGTTACCCTCTCCTCTCTACCTCGCAGTGGCCGCCGCCGCAACGCATACTCCCTCTGTCCTAAAAAAAAAAAAGACAAACACTGGATTTCCGTGTCAAACGTTTGACTGTCCGTCTTATATGATTTTTTTTTATAATTAGTATTTTCATTGTTATTAGATGATAAAACATGATTAATACTTTATGCATGACTTGTCTTTTAATTTTTTTTAAATAAGACGGACGGTCAAACGTTGGACATAGAAACCAGGGTTTGTCTTTTTTTTTTTGATGGAGGGAGTACGTGAGTGAAGGGTTTCGATAGGGAGAGATTAGGGCGACGGCGGGCGGGGCGCGATGGAGAGGGATGAGATCGAGGGAATCGGCAAGCTCAACTCCCCTGAGAAGAAGAAGGAGAAGGAGAAGAGGAGGCGCAAGCACAAGCCCGACGAGGCGAAGGAGGAGATGGTGGTGGACGCCATACCCAAGGAGGAGGAGAATCTCAAGTCCCCCGAAAAGGGATCACCGAAGAAGAAGGAGAAGAGGAGGCACAAGCACAAGCACAAGCCCAAGCCCGACGGGACACAAGCCGTACTCAAGGAGGAGGAGGAGAGCAACAGCAAGTCCAAGGCCCCGGCGGAGGGCGAGAAGAAGAGGAAGAAGAAGAAGCTGGTGACGGTGAAGCTGAGCGACGAGCTGATGGGATACCTGCGGACCAAGGAGGTGATGGCCTACCTCGCGCGCGAGACGCCTCGCCCGCTCCCGATCGATCCGGGCGTCGCGCAGCACATGTTCGTCGACCAAGAACTCAGGCAGGAAATCGCCGCCCAGGTTCACGAGAACAGGGAATTCGACGCCTTCGTCCTCTACCAGTACCGCACCAAGGGCTACGCCGAGATCCAGCAGGAGGTCACCGACGACGACGACGACGACGACGAGGTGTAGCTAGAATCTTGCAGGGAATCAATAATGGTTGGTGGTAAGGAGCAATGATCTGTGATCCAGCTAAATATACTAGAGTGCTTCTGCTCATTAATCATTATTAGGATATTACTATGTCTAATGGTGTTATTATTATTGCCCGTATCTTTGCTACTTGTAACTAAACGTGTGGGAATCACAAGTAACTGCTTTCGTAGTTAAACCGAGTGAATTGCTAACGTATTGGAATGAATGGGATTGCAACTGTGATTTGATTCTGATTGGCATAGTACTTGTCATAGTAGTTGTGATCCTAAATGTGAATGATCTTGGCTAGCTAACCCGAACGCTTCATGTTACTCTCTGTTTGTGCTAAAAGCGATTCGGATTTCTACTATTTATGACTTGTTACCTTCCTGATCTCGTTAATTCTCTTTTTGTGTGATCCTATTCGAATTATGTTTGAAAAACATTTCAATTATATCGCCTCATGTGGCCGTATCTCATTCAGAGCAGCTTCTTCTATAATGCTGTTTTTCTCTGCGCTTTTGCCATTCATCTATTCATTTTGATTAATCTTCAAATACCTCAGAAGTGTGAATCTTCTGCGGTATTGTTCTTTTCTTCATGTGCCAACGCAGTGTGGTTTGGTGCTTTTTTTCATATTGTAGTAGATATCACTCTCCCTTGGTTATACAATCAAGGACTTTTTAGTGGAGGAAAGAGTAAAGATTCCATTCTTTTGTACATTTGTTTATAGAAGCAATACGTGTGCTGCAAAACTTTGTGAGCCTTATGCATCGTACTGCTGGCTAAATGTTTTCATGTCTAATGAATAGTACACTAGAATGAGAAATGCCATGAAGACCTACAGTAATATTATGTTGTCACTCTGTAAATGTTTGGCTTGCTGTAAAATCATTGGCTGGGTCGAAGGAACAACGAAGCATTGTTGATTCCCTAGGGCCCCATGCCTTTTCTGTACAGGGGATAAGAAAATCTTGCTACATGGTTAACAAGCCGGAGAACAACTGATGACATCACTGACAACTGGGGCAGGTTCTGCTCATCTTCTCTGTAGTATCATTTACATAATACTTGAGTTTTTCAGTACTCCCTCGTTTCACAATGTAAGTCATTCTAACATTTCTCATATTTATATTGATATTAATAAATCTAAACATATATATCTATCTAGATTCACTAACACTAATATAAATGTGGAAAATGTTAGAATGACTTATATTGTGAAAAGGAGGTAGTACTGATCATGATTGCGCTGTTATTTCAGTATGACATCTTGTGCAGACGAAAACGACAAATGGGCTGCCTGCCTATGCTGGACCTGGTGGATGGAACGGTAAGAATTTGAGATGAATGTGTTCTGCTCAACCATTTGAGAGCTTCGAACCGATCAACAGATGCTGTTGAACATCAATTGCAGATCCTGGCATGCTTGAAGTGGGCGATGGGGAGATGTCTTAATCGGAGTACCGCTCACAGTTCAGTATCTGTGGGCACAATCATAGGTACCATAGCATGTTTTGTGTACTAACAGTTTTGCTGCAATGTTGAATATTTTCTTTTGTTGCATTTCCTCACAGCAAGCTTTGCTTCAACTGTTCAGGCTCCTCTTTTGATTGGATGTGATGTGCGCTCAATGTGGCCCCGTTTAGTTTCCCAAAAACATCACATCGAATCTTTGGACATATGCATGAAGCATTAAATATAGATAAATGAAAAAACTAATTGCACAGTTAGAGAGAAAATCGCGAGACGAATCTTTTCAGCCTAATTAGTCTATGATTAGCCATAAGTGCTACAGTAATCCACATGTGCTAATGACGGATTAATTAGGCTCAAAAGATTCGTCTCGCGGTTTCCAGGCGAGTTATGAAATTATTTTTTTCATTCGTGTCCGAAAAACCCTTCCGACATTCGGTCAAACATCCTATGTGACACAAAAAAATTTTCTTTTTGGAAACTAAACAGGCCCGAGCCAGCAGATGAAAGACATACTCAGCAACTGGGAGGTCATCGTTGTGAACCAAGGCAAGCCTTCTCTTTCACATGCTTAGATCTAGCCATATTCTTTGATATTTCACCATACTCATATAACAACTTTGTGCAGACAGACTAGGTGTCCAAGGAAAGAAAATGCAAGCTGACAATGGATTGGAGGTAATCCCTGTTCATCTGCATCAGTGGTTTTCAAGTTTCAGCCTTGTCTTTGTTCCATGCTCTGAAGCTGGCAATACTGTGTTAATTTGTCGATAGGTTTGGGCCAGGTCACTCAGCAACAACAGGAAGGATGTGGTACTCTGGAACAGGCCATCACTGCGCATTGGTCGAGCATTGGACTCACTGGGTCAGTGGCTGTCACTGCTCGTGATCTATGGGCGGTAAACTTGCTTTCTTCAGAGCTCAAAGTACAACATCACTCTTCAGAATTCAGAGTTCATAACATTTCTCTCTTGCGATTTGCAAGGATTGGTAGAGATGGAAATGGATGCCATTTGGTTATATATATGCAGAAATAAGCTGTAAGCCTGTGCATGTAAGGTGCCGTCAAATGCGGTGTATTGCTGAAGTTTGTTGTGAAAGTTGCAGCAACAAAGCGGCATTCCTGCCACTATCTTATAAAGAAATATACTCGCCTGAAGACAAATCTGTGGCAAAAGCCTTCACAGTAGAGAGTTGAGACATTGCAAGACATCACAACTAGACAGAATGCAAAACACATTGTGGATCAAAACAATATCAGCTACAACTAAGGATTGGGTTTGCACCAGCCAAATCACCTGCATCTGTTGCTTCAACAAAACAATTAATATCCACGAGGCTGCCGTCTCCGCCTCCCCGCCCACCGGCGTCGGAAGGATCCAGTCCGTTGGTCAGTACGGCCGTGATTCAAGGGGCCCATATCTGTCGGGCCGGAACGGGACTCTGACTTAGATGTGCCCATGTTATTTGGTCTGGAAGAGATTTTGATTTGGAATAAATCCACTTCGACTCCATTAGCTAGTGAGCGAATCTGATTGGAAAAAGTATACCCAAGGTCCCTCAACTTGTCATCGAATTGCAAAATCGTCCTCCAACCGTAAAACCGGATACAACTTATAAAACCGGTGCAAATTAGACTCCTAGGCGGTTTTGACTCCGGTTTTATCCAACGTGGCAGCTGACTCAGCATGGGACCCACGTGGGTCCCATATGCCAGCCCCTTCTTCCCCTCCCTCTCTTCCTCTCTCCTTCTTCCCCTCCCCATGCAGGGCAGCCGGCCGGTGGGGGAGCGCGGGAGACCGGCAACGGGCGATGGGCGACGAGGCGGCAGCAGCGCCGCACGGCCTCCTGCGCCCGCCCTCCTAGCCAGGGGAGCCGGGGGAGGAGCTGGGTGCGGCCGTCGGGGGCGGAGCGGGGCTCGGCTGGCGGGGCGGAGCTGGGCGCGGGCGGCAGCCGGTAGGGGAGGAGCTGGGCGGCTGCGGGGGGGGAGGGCGGGCGCCCGACGGCCTCGATGACGTCCTCTGGCCGGCGACATGCCCATCGGCGCCACCCTCACGAAGATGGTGGCCTTCGTCGACGACGACTTCGAAGTCTACACCGTGCCCAGGCCCACTTCGACCTCTCGCTGCAAGATGCCCCGAATGAAACTCAGCAGCTAGCCTATAAATAGTCCTGACAAATTATGGGCCAACACTTCTTGACAAAAAGGCCATTAAAACCATCAGGACTAGGAGGCCTGGCAATGGACAATTTTTTCACATAAAAAGTGCACCGAAGGTCCCTCAACTTGTCATCGAGTTACAAAATCGTCCCCCAACCACAAAACCAGATATATGACATCTCTCAAGTTACAAAACCGTTCAATTTAGGTCCTTCGGTGATTTTGATCCCGGTATTGTCCGACGTGGCAGCTGAGTCCGCATGGGACCCGCGTGTTAGATTGACCACGTCACCACTTCTTACCCTCCCCATCAACTCACTTCCTCTCTCCTTCCCTCTCCATGGGCGGTGGCCGGCGAAGAGCAGCCAGGGCGGCGCGACAGGACGGTTCGGCGGGCGCGGTCACCGGTGCAGAGGAGCACGCCACGGTCGGGCGTCGCCATGGCCTCTCTTGTCCCCGTCAAAGTCACCCCGCTCGACGAGGTCGGCGGCGGCGAGCATGGTGTCGCGTCGCGGCGTGCCCCGTTGAAGTCACCCCGGTCGACGAGGTCGGCGCACGCGAGCGGGGAGGAGCGTCGGTGGTGGGACCACAGGGGTAGAGCGAAGGGGGAGCTGGAGGGGAACGGTGGTGGCGAGGTGGAGGAGGAGGATGCCGCTCCGACGAAACTCCCATTCAGGGCGAGGGAGGAGCGGAAGACGGAGACGGCGACAGCGGGAGGGAAGTGGGGATGGAGGCGGCGAGGAGGGAGTTGGCCGGCCGACGCGTTGTCGCCGCCGCCGCCGCCGTTGTCCTTCCGGCCGTTGCTCATCCGCGAGGCCGTCCCCAACAAGCCGCCGCTCCGGCCGTCCTCCCCCGTTCCAGCGCCATGGCAGCCAGAGTTCTTCGGCGAGGGTATCACCGTCAACGGCAAGGCCTGGCCGTTCCTCATCGTCTACCGCCGCCGCTACCGCCTCCGCATCCTAAACGCCATCAACGCCCGCTACTTCAACGTCTCCCTCTCTAACAGCTTCCCCATCCACGTCTTCGGCTCCGACGCGTCGTACCTCTCGGCCCTGGACACCGTCACCAACCTCCTCTCCCTGGCCGAGATCTTTGACGTCATCATCGACTTCTCCTAGTCGCCGACGGCCGAGATCGAGTTGCTCAACTCGGCGCCCTACCCGTTCCCTACCAACGCCGCCCCCGGCTCGCTCAATGGCAGGGTGATGAAGTTCGTGAATCCGCCCGCACGCGGCTCCTCCCACCGCCGTCCGCCGCACGCGCATGCTTCCACCTTTGCGCCCATCCCCGCGGCGCCGGCCTGCGCCCGGCCCGCCGCCGCAGCGTCGCCACGCCACCCCGCCGCCTGTTTCCTACCTCGCCCTGCCGGCCGGCCCGCACGAGGTGAGCGGGGAGGCCGGCGAACTCGCGCGCGCCGCTGTGGGTGGCAGCCCTAGGGCCGTCCCCGTGTGAGAGCAAAGAGAGAGCGAGAGGAAGGAGAGAAACGAAAGAGAAGAGGGGAAAGGTGAGTAGGTGTTGACGTGTGGGGCCCACGTGGGTCCCACGCTGAGTCAGCTGCCACGTCGGACAAAATTGGAGTCAAAACCGCCGAGGGATCTAGTTTGTACTGGTTTTGTAAGTTAAGGGATGCGTTGTATCCGGTTTTGTGGTTGAGGGACGATTTTGTAACTCGATGAGAAGTTGAGGGACCTTCGGTGTACTTTTTCCAATTTTTCACAATATTATCCTAGCGTGGGCCGTGGGCGTGTGGCCCATCACTGGGCCTTTTCCAAACCGACTTTTGGCAGCTAAAACCTGTCGGTGATCGATCCGAGCCGCGTCGTGTCGCCTTGCCTCGCCTCGCCTCGCCTGGACTTCGACTTCGCCACCGTCGAGGGCACCGGAGATGGCCAACCACCGCCGCCAATGGGCGTCGTGGCAGACGTTCCACCCCGTCCACCCGATGGAGGATCTCATGCCCGGCGGCGTCCGCCTCCCCGACCCCGACGAGCAGCCACCGGACCCCATCTACGCCTTCCTCGAGGTGTTCGAGGAGCTCTACGGCGACCAGTTCCCTCCCCACGTACGCCGTCCGCCGATCAAAACTCGATCGATCGATTGATTTTGGCCTTTGATTTGCTCATCTGCTTCAATTCCACACCCTGCAGGTTCTCCTCTACGACTCGGGGGATCCCAACGGCGGCGACGACATGGAGGAGTCTGATGACGACGTCGACGGCGGCGGCGAGAGTCTCTCCGCCATCGTCTATGGCGGGGGGAGACTGCACCCGTCCCGGCGCCCGTCCGTGCCGCCGCCGGAGGAGAGGCCGAGGGGGTGGATGCCGTGCCCGGTTCTTCCTCGGGCGGGAGGCGGCCATGGCGATGCCGACGCCGCGGCCGCCGAACAAGGGGTGGAGGGAGAAGGGCCGGCCGGACGCGTGGCAGCGGTTCTACCTCGACCGCGGCGCCGGCAGGCACGCGGCGTCGGAGGCGGAGGCCAACCGGGAGCTCTGGATCGCGTTCCTGCTCGACCGCGGCGCCGCGAAGAGCACCTCGTGGTGGAGGTCGTTCGAGCGGCGGTTCGAACGGTGCGCCGCCGCCGATCCCTACTACGCCGCCGGCGACACGCCCTGCGCCATGGTGACCTCTTTCACGTTCTGCTTCCAGTAATAGGCCTTGGTACCCTATGTACGTCTTTCAATGGGAGAGTGATTAATTTCAGCTATAGAATCATAAGCAGCATTGGCACAATAGAACTCGTAGCGTTTTGTAAGTAGCATACTTTGCAAACTTTGCGTTTGTTTAGTTCGCGAAAAGAAAATTTTTGGGTGTCACATCGGATATTTGACCGGATTCGGGGGTTTTTGAACACGAATAAAAAAACTAATTTTATAACTCGTATGGAAAACCGCGAGACGAATTTATTAAGCATAATTATTCCGTCATTAGCATATGTGGATTACTGTAGCCTTTTTCTAGAAAATGCATACATTGCGACATGGTGTCCTGAACTCCTAATACAATTTATTTCTGTTTTCGTGGGCCAATCAGTAGTAAACTAGTAATCTATTTTGGAATTTGAAGATGCAATTGATAGTGTAGTGGTAAGGGTATGTGTTGAAACCACGCTCATAATTCTTTCTCAAATGAATGTTTGGAGGAACTTCTTTGTCTCCAAATATTAATCCTGTTCTTTTTTCTATTATTAAGGAATTCCGAATTTTCTGCCAATCTCATGTCTCTTTTCTGCTGACATTGTCTGGTGTCATAAAAAAGTATGTGTTCAACTGTTCATGGCTTCAAATGCTTTCCAAACCTTTTCTTCAGAGTATGTATGTGATCTTTTGATTGGCTAACATATGACTGGTAATTTTGGAGCACGGCAAATGTAAGAGAGCAAGATCGGGGTACTTGAGCATTGGTATCTCCTCGTAGTGCAAGAGTGTTGACTGCACGTCAATTGACGATAATTAACTTTGCAGATGTTGCCTGGTGTCAGCCTGTCAGGTGACTGCCCCTCTTTCTTTTCTTTCTTTCTTTTTTTTTTGTGATGGAAGTTTCTACTCTAGTTTTGCTCCATGGAGTATGCTTTAATCTTAAAGCAGTTTGTCTACAAATTCCAGTCTCCAAATTAAATGTTTAGAGTAATAATTTGGGGGAAATAACCTCCATTTAGCAAAAGGGAAAAATTATAAAGTCCATGGTCCTAACTTGTCCTTGTGGAATGCTTTGATGCATGCCAGTGTAGACATTGTTTTGCATACGGCCGAGTGAACCAAATTAATTGAACAGCTTATATAACTATATGTCTGTTTTGTTATTTCTATATCCTATCTCTGTTTTTTTTAATAGATGGCGGCGTTAAATTTTAAAGTAAAATGCTATACGTACTAACTTTTTATTATTAAAATATTACTAACATTGATATGCTATAAGTACATTTAGATATTTTTTATAACTTCCATCTACCTAAATCAAACAGTTGAGATGGTTGTTAGTAAAAATTTAGTAAGAAAAAATTAATACGTGTATCAGTGCCGACCATTCGTAGATTTTCAAAAGGTTAGTGTAAATATGATAAAATACAAGTCGATTATACTTAAATTTTCTTTAATAATAAAACATGCCGCAAGAAAATAAATGATATTTATATTTTTTTTATAATATAATAAATGGTCAGATATTATGTAAAATCTATTAAAAATATGGAAAGAGTACATTATTAAAAGCGTGTTGATGAAAAAAATACATACTGACTTGGGAGATCTGCTTAACTCCAATGCAGATCCTAAATCTTGCTTTCGAGGACTTGGGATATCTGCTTAACTCCAATGCAGATCCTAAATCTTGCTTTCGAGCTTAAATGCATGCCAGTTGATTTGATCCTGCAATCAACAAGAAAGGAAAACAAGAAAATAAGGTTAAATCCGTAAACGATAGCCGATCGGCTAAGGGCCGATGACATATCGTTAATCACTAAGCTGATGTATTAGCATTAGATCGGTAATGAAGAATAAAGCCGATCAATGTGGCTCCTAATTAATAAGATACAACTGCCCCTCTGTGGGCTCATCCCAATTGCGGCAATACTTGTGCAGCACGTCAATCGATCCCGAAGATCAATATTAACTTCTAATTTGGTACATGATCTACCAATTTAGTCGTCAACAATTATACACCAAAGATACCAGCAATAAAACAATCGACACTTGAATCTAACGATTAAATTAGCGGATTTACAAGTTTTTTTTTGAGTTGTGATACAAATTCATTTGCACTTAATAAAGGCCAGCTTCTGCCGTAGTGGAGCGGAGGCCTGTCGCCGGGAGGCTTGGGCCGGATCGTCATCCTTTTTAGGGTTCCACCATATATATACCTCTTGTAAGCCGTTGTGCGGCGTTGTAACCCCACCCTAGATATAGTGAAGATATTTTGCTGGCTGGCGCCCGTGGTTTTTTCTCTCCTACTTTGGGAGGGTTTTCCACGTTAAAATCTCGTGTCTTCTGTGATTGATCTATTATTCTTTATCATTTGTTTGCCTATCGTTTCCTAACACTTTTTGCCCCCAAAACTTTTATATTTGTGACCATCGGATCGCCTCGAGATTTGAGCATGAAGAGAAAAAAATGCTAGAAAGAAATTTTTATACATGTCATGCATAAGATCCTAGTGTTATCTAATCAAACCATTGTTGAATGCAAGTTTTAATAAGTTATATATAAAAGTTATAGTGCAGTTACAGTGCAATTACACTTCAGTTATGGTATAGTTATATCTGAATGTTTTTGACCCAAAAAATTTATTTGTGACAGTTTTTTAGATACTCTCAAAAATTAGATTTGTCTCCCAGGAATTGAGACTGCAGGTCAAGCATATGATCTCCTGGCCCATTTCCGAACCATTTTGCGAAGCTGGTCCGAAATTAAGCTCTGGGTGGCTACGTTTCTCTTCTCTTTTCCATGCCAGAATCGATCGATCAAAAGGCATATGCATCTCCTGTTTCTGCATGCGCCGATCAAGACGGACGCGTGGTGACTTCACTGTAGGTATATAGTGGAAGACTTGAGACGGCGACGGCGGCGGCGGGAGGCGACAAAAACGCTTGTTGTTTTCAGTCCTACTCACTCGGCGGGCGATCACTCGTGGAGCAGAGCACGGAACTGATCGAGAGAGAGAAAAAAGGGGCCGGGAGAGTGCCTTTTGCGCGCCGACCATGTCCTCCTCGCCGGTTCCTGTCGCCGTCGCCGGCCACCACGCGACTAAACTACCAATATACACCACGCCCATATACCTACGTGGTGGGGGCCGACCAATCGGGCTAGCTTTGCTAGTCTTCCAGCGCAAGAAAACTCTGCACTTGTATCTGTCCGTAGTGGCGGAGCCAGTACTGCCGCAACGCATAAGAAGATCGCACGTCAATATATTAGAAGCGGAGGTGAATAGTAACGTTTTCCGATGACCGACTAATTTTTATACGTGTGGACGGTTAACGATAATGGAGACAGACATATCGTTTTAGGCTGCCCGACATGCCGGGGAGCTATAACTCCGCCGCTGTGTGTCTCCGGCTCTGATCACGGTAGCGGCGGCGACCGTTGTTCAGGAACCGCTGGAATTGATAATTGGCGGTTAGCGGGTGGTCAACAGTGGTTGCTCAACTATTGAAGCACAGGAACATTTTTTTTTACTTTTTAATTATATAAGAGAAAATTAATGTAGTATTTCTTTTGTCCCAGAATTATAACAAATTTTAGTTATAAACCTTAACGAGTATGTCTAAATTTGTACTGCAACTGCTGCAGCCAGCCGCTGGACTTTTTTTTTTCTTGATTCACTGTTCGTATAGGCTACAGTAGCTAGCGCTGCAGCCCTTGCCTGCAGCGGAACACACCCATTGTAACACTTTTTGGATTTACATCGATTCATCCATTGATCATATATATATATATATATATATATATATATATATATATATATATATATGTATGTATGTATGTATGTTTTGTATATGTGTCTAGATCTATTAACATCTATATGAATTTGGGTAATGCTATAAAGTTTTATGTTGTTGAAACGGATAAAGTACTTAAATATTGTTATAGTTGTAAAAGGAGATAGTAGTATATTTTCTCGAGAGTGCTTTCTTTTTTTTTTAAGAAATCAAGAGTGCAATTTTGTTCAAGAAAATGCAACTACTACTGCTATATCACTGGCTAACCAACTTTTGACCCGTCTACGGCGATCAAGAGAGTGCAGCACTCAGTGGTATATATCTTAATTGCGCTATCTCCTCACAGATTTTAAGTTATCTTATCAGTCCGTGTTGCAAATTGTTCAAATAATAAATCACACTTTTTTTCTTCTTTCCAAAGTGCAAATCATGTCGATTATACACATGTCATGCATGCAGAAGTCTTCTCTTCCTCATATGTCTGAATTTTGATTCTCGATAGTTCGGTCCGATGATATCGTTAACACAAATTGGTTTTATATGTAAGTTTCACGTTTTGAACGAAAACCAACCAGAAACCACGAAATGTATAGGTGTTTTGACACGGGATGAGAGCAGATTTTCGAGTGAAATTTGAATGGTTTCTGATAATTCAAATATTGTGAAAACTTGACCAAAATCTTATCAAAATTTGATTAAAATGGCGAAAACCGTCATATTACCATCAGAAGTCCGTATCTGTTGCTCAACCGAAAAGGTGAACCAATCCTTGTGTGCTCGCTCTACAGCTCAGGGTTTTTGCACCGTCCATCACTGGTACCAAACTTGGGAACTTGTCTTGATGCTATTCTACACCTGTTTGATTAATGCAATACAGTACTAGTAGTAGCTACCCGCCGATCACCAGGCATGTGTAACTTTTTTTTAAACGAGAAGATATAGAAGTGTCAATTTAAAAGAATATAGGAAGAAAAGGGCATTATTCATATATATATATATATATATATAAGAGATAAAAACTAAGAAAATAGTTAGATTGTACAAGGAACTAGCTAGCAGCCTAAAGTAACATCTCTGTTAGATACTTGGCTTTTGCCGCCGTTTAAGTTCTTGCCTGTTCCTCTATCCTCGCTATACTACCTGTCGTAGGGACGGATCTAACATGAGAGCGGCGGGCTCTCTGAGCCCCCACTACTGGCGTGATGACTATGAAAGCCCCCACGAAGACCCTACTAAAATTTTTTACCATATATAGATGGGAGGGGGATTGTAACTCTATCTAGTTTGCTCAGACCCCACTGCTATTTTTTTTGATCTGCCACTGATCTATCGTGGTTAGCTCTTACTTCTCTTTGGTCTATAAAAGCTAACCTAGGTGGGAATGGAATATAACCTCCTCTGTTCAGATTTGGGTTTTTTTTTTACGGAGAAAATATGTCGGAAAACCATTCATTACTAGAAAAAACATTTTTCTAGGCGGGCAAAAGTAGTTTTTCCAGGCGGGGGAAAGGAGCGCATGTACGTAAAGGCTTGCGAACGCCCAACGGCACCTACAAAAATCATTTTCGTAGGCGGTTGATCCACCCGCTTGTAAAAATATTTTTAGCGAAAATAAAAAAAATGCCACTGGTGGCCTCCCCCTTCGGCTTCTCCCCATTCGGGAGACGGCTCCTCCTCCGCCGCATCCACCACCCCCGCCCTCCCCCGTCGGCCCCTCCCTTCGGCCGCCAACTCTCCTCCCCCTCCCCCAGTCAGATATGGGAGGAGGAAGGAGGGAGCGTTGCCTCCGTCGCTGATGGCCGGCTCCCCTCATCTGGCCGGATTTGGGAGGGAGGGACGGAGGAAGGGGAGCGGTGCCGCCGACTCTCCTCCTAGTTGTCGTGCGCCGCCGTGCCTCTGGTGGCCGCCACCTTCGCCCTCATGCCGCCTCCACTGCTACTGCCGCCGCCGGCCGGTTCCCCTCTTCCGGCTGGATCTAGAAGGGAGGGAGGAGAGCGCCGCTGGCCACCGCCCTCCCCCCTTCCTCCTCGGGCCAGATCTGGGAGGGAGGGAGGGGAGCCATAGCCAGGAGCAGCAGCCGCCACCGCCACTGCCCTCCCCCCTCCCTCCGGCCACCGCGCCAGGGTGCGCCACCACTGCCACCGGTGGGAGGGGAGAGGGGAGGAGAGGTGGGAGGGGAGGGGAGAGGAGAGAAGAGGTGGGAGGGGACTTAGAAAACTTTGGCTGCGAGGGAAGAGGGGAGAGAGGTTTTTAAAGATGCTTATTTTCGTAGATGGACAACTATCTCGTCTCACGGTTTTTATTTTCGTAGGCGGCAATTTAGTTTCGAGAGACCTACCCGCTTGAAAAGAAAATAACGCCCACGTCTCGAAAAATGATTTTTCTAGTAGTGATTTTGTATATCTCCCTACTTAGACACGTGTAATGTGATGGACCAAAAAGTGTGGTCCTCCACTTTCCACACCTGCACCGCTGCTGCAGCACACACCGCAGCAGGAGGGTCGGGTGGCTGCATGCACGCATACATTGTTCAGTCCACGTTTGCTTCGGTTCGCTTTTCCGTCGCGCGAGCTGATCATCGATCGCCGCCCTCGTCTCCACTATGACCTTAGTCATTAAGCAAAAGAAATTAAGCCCCCTCTTCTTCCACACACACCTAACCTCAGTGCTCCCTCGGTAATTGTAAAGGAAGTTGTTTTGTACAGCGACACGTTCTTTAAAATATAACTTTAACCTTTTTATTTCTATAAAAATATTTATTAAGAAAGTGATATATATGTATACTTTTATAAAATTATTTTTCAAGACAAATCTATTTATATATTTTTTACGTTTTCAAACTTAACAACTTGAGAATTATTCATGATTTATATTCCCAAGGTTTGACTTAGGTGGTGTTTGGTTGGAGGGACTAAAGTGGGGCTAAACTTTTAGTCTCTAATTTCCAAACACCCTCTTAAACATTGTCCTAAACAACTTCCTTTACGAGCAATGGAGGGAGTATACCTCCCCTCTCGCCTAGCTATATAATCAACCCCGACACCTTCACTGAAACACCTCCATGGCTTTCCACCTTCGCTTCCTCCTCCTCCTTGCCCTCTAGCTACTAGCTCACACTGTCACAGTCACCACACAGCTACTAGAAGTAAGATTTAGCTAGATTATTCATTAATCTGTACTAATTGATATTGCTAAGCAGCTGCAGCAGCAGCAGCTGGTTGGGGGGAGGAAGAAGAAGGAGAGTGTTCGATCGGCGGCGGCGGCGGCTCACCGGTCCGACATGCGCAGGGGTTCACCGTGGTACGACTACTACTACTCCTCGTCGTCGTCGTCGTCGTCGTCCCCGGCGCGGAGCAAGCGCGCGCAGGCGCAGCTCGTCGTCGTCGTCTCCGCCGCCGGCAAGAAGCTACCCTGGCCCTCGCCGCGGCGTCGCGGGAGCCATGTCGTCGCCGTTCCTGGGCTCTTCTTCCTCTTCCGCTTCGTCGCCCCTCTCTTACCTGACCCCGCCTAGGCCTCCTCCTCCTCCTCCTCCCCTTCTCATGGTACGTCACGGATTAGCTCGATGGTTGACTGATCTTGACGATGAGCTGATGGTGTTCGACGACGATCTTGGCGTGCAGGGGCAGGGATACGCCGCTGCTGCCAATGGCGGAATTGGCGGCGGCGGCGTCGAGGCGGTGAACGCGGCGGCGGCGCCGAGGCAGGGTGGCAGGCACGCCGGGCACCCGCCGCTGCCGAGGCCGCCGCCGAGGCAGTGCCCGCGGTGCGGCTCGGCGAACACCAAGTTCTGCTACTACAACAACTACAGCCGCACGCAGCCGCGGTACCTCTGCAAGGCGTGCCGCCGCCACTGGACGGAGGGCGGCACGCTCCGCGACGTCCCCGTCGGCGGCGGCCGCAAGAACAGCAAGCGCGCCGCCGGCGGAGGCAAGGCCGGCGCCACAGCCTCGACGGCGGCTTCTGCCCATGTCGTCGCGCCGGCGGCGGCGCCGCCGACGTCGTCGTCGTTCCCCGATCTCCTGAGGCAGATGCTGATGGCGCCGGCTACCGCCGGTGGCGGAGGCGGCTACAGCATCGACCTGACCGCGTGGCAGCAAATGGCGGCGTTCGCGGCTCCACCTCAGGCCGCCACCGGCGATGTCGGCGGCGCGGTCGGAGCGGCGTCGACGGCGGCGCCGGACGCGAACTGCGGCGGCGGCGGCGTGCAGTACTGGAACGGGTGGCTGCAAGATGACATGCCCGGTCTAGATGGTTCATGTTAAGTAACCCGTGCTTGTATTGATACGTATACGTATACGGAGCTACGGATATATATACCGAATACGTATACGTATATATATGTGTGTGTATATGCATGTATAGCCTATGTATGCATACATGCATACACATGCGCTATGAAAGTATATACGTATGTCGTATGCGCATACTAAATTAGCGTAACAAGAGCCTATGACTGTACTAGTGTAGTTTGGATTCAGGTTATTAACTCGTGGGTATATGTTGACCTACTGTAGTTAAATTTGTGTATTTGTGCGACTCTGCCCATTTCTAGTTTGTACGTGCATCTATGTGTTATGCTTTTTTTTTCCCTTTTTTAAGTACTACTCCCACCGTTAAATATTACTCCGTATAAACTTAGTTAAACTTTGTTAACTAAGTTTATAAAAGAATTTAATGACATCCAAAACACTAAATTAGTTTCATTAGATCTAATATTAAATATATTTTGATAATGTGTTTGTTTTGCGTTGAAAATATAACTATATTTTTTATAAACTTGATTAAACTTAAATAATTTTAACTAGAGAAAAAACTAAAATGACTTATAATATGAAAGGGAGGGAGTACAAAGCAAATTGTCAGACAGAAAAACAAAAGTGAAAGACTGCTATGTGCTTGCTTACATACATAAAAGCACTAGTTATGGTTCAATGTAAGTCAAGGATCATATCTTGATAAGTCTCAAGCCAGTGGGTATATTCCATTCTGCTAGATGCTCTGATATTAACCCCATCAATTTGTGAAGCGATTTCATAGCACTTTGCTATAATCATCTACAGTATATAGCTCTGAAAATGAGCAACGAGACACGAGAGCAGAAGCACCGGTAGCAGGGAACCCACAGGCAAGCAGAACAACTGGCAAAAATCCTCTGCACCAACAGACCAACAACACTTTGTGTGCAAAAGACCTAACAAAATAAATTTAAATCACATGGTTACCAAAACTGTCACAGTATTACACAGTGATTTCTCTCTCTCTGAATATGCATTGTAATAACAGACTAATTAAGCACAAATAGCAGAGACAAGATCAAGTGAAGTGATGGTTCAGGGTTTCAGCTGTACGGGCTCATGCCGATGGTGGCTTCCCGGCGGGCGTAGGAGACCCGCGACTTGGAGAAGTAGAAGTAGTAGGCTCCGGTGAGCACGCAGGTGATCAGGGAGAAGGCGGCGCCGGCGCCGAACGTGCCCCGCCGCACCGTCTCGCAGTCCGGCGGGTTCTCGAAGAAGACCTTGCGGTAGCGGGTGTGGTAGGCGGACTGCACCAGCCCGGCCAGCAGGCACGACTCCGCGATGAGGAATGTCAACCTGAGTAGAAGAACATCAGGCAGAATGTTCAGTACCCCAGTGTGCAAAAACTGGATGGTTTGGATGAAATTTGTATAGATTCGCTGGCTGCTTAACTGGGTAATTCAACTGTTTGATATATAGAGATCATTGGATGAATAAATTGAAGCATTTGAAGATGTCATGCTATGATTCTTATGCCTTATGCTGCTTGCAATTTTTATGCTTTTGTTTTGGGGGCAAAAGTGAGAATTCAATAAATTCATGCGTTCATATAGCAGTCTAATTAGTACAGAATCATGGCAGTAAAAGTATTTTTCAGATGCTGTAATACATACTAGGTGCTACAATGAACAGGTAACACAGTACCCATGTCACCAGCAGGTGTATGAAAGAACACAAGTAGAAACATATCAATGCCAATCGTATCTGAGGAATCATAGATAAACCCCTGTTTTCTCTAGATAAAAAGGACAGTTAAAGGGGGCGTTCGGTAAAGATTGTGTGCCAGGGGAATTATCAAAGTTAGGGCCAGGTCTTCCAAAATAGAAAATTTGCATAATATTTCTGGAAATAAGATAAGTGATAACCCATGAACACGCCTAGTTCTACAACAAACTGAGTAACTGCCTGGAGACAAAACAAAAATATTTTATTTTGATAAGTAAAACAAATTGACTATGGTTGTTCGGGTGCAGTCATGAGAAAACGCATGCCTGACTTGTTAGTTCGGTAAAATGTTTAAACTTAATTCTGCAGCAATTAAGCAATTATCTATATTATTACTTTAAATGATGCTAGTGGTGGTGTCAGCGTCTGCCTCCAACGTCACAAGCTAACATGTGGGGCCATAAGATCCATACACATGAATGTTTTTGCTTTATATATGGCATTTTATGCCTAATCAACTAACTATGCTAAATTTAAGTTTTTCTTTTGCTTTTATCTCTTATAATATCCGTTGCAACGCATGGGGCCTTTAGCTAGTCAGTGTAGAAACAAATGGTTCATAAACAATTCATACAGGTAGTCTGAATTTCAGAGCTCATACATATACCACTGTCATAATTGTTTACAATGTGTTGTGCAAGAAGTTTGGGGGAAAATGGTCATATAACTAGACTGTATCACTGGACTCACAGATTACCAATAGAAAGTACCGACTCCAAACCCAACAAATCAGAACAGTTTAGTACTAGTATTAACTGAAAGCTACTCGTTGATTAGTTGATGAAGCTTGCCCTTAATCAATGTGGGACTTGGTCCAGCCGGCCGTCCAACAATTTCTACAACCACTAAAGCACTAAACTCAACGGTTGAGCCTTGATCAGTTAACACTGTGAAGGACATAGCAAGCAAATGGCAACCTTTACATTTTGACCAATTCAGCATAAGAACTCCAAGATGACCAAAGCTAATTGCTAACTGTACAAAATTCAAGACCAAACTCCCAACCAGTCAATTTATTTATTCTTAAAAACCATCAACATCATAGTTTGTATTCTACCATAGCCTGCTATATGCTAACATTCCTACAATTTTGCCCCGTGTGCACCCCTAAATAAATTAGCATACAATATCAGCAATCCAATAATCCGAATGCGCAAGCAAAATTTAACAAATTACATGACATTCTAGGGAAAATATCAAATAATTTGCATATTTCCTCTTCTTGAGAAAATCTTAGAGCTAGATGATTGATGATTCACGGATATAGAACAACTAATTTGTATATTTCAGCACGAATCGCATCAATCCGCAGGGATTTCGTGTAAATTTTACCCTCACCAATCAACACCCCAATTTTCCCAATCCCCAAGTTTGGCTGAGTCGTTGATCCAACGCGCTTTCCCCTGCACCGATCTCTAGTTTCTTTCTGACTTTTCGGCAACCCCAAACATGGACAGCTAGAGATTCCCAAGCTAATAATCCCTGAATTCGCGCTGCTTTGCTTGATTAAACAACGCGAGAAACGAAGCGCACGACTCGCGGGGCCCGCGCGTCAGCCTCACGCGGGGAGGTCAATGCGGCGGCGGCGGCGAGAGCCGAATCGTGGAGAGGATGGGGAAGGGGAAGGGGGGATCGGAGTTGGTACCAGGAGGAGAGGAAGAGGATGAGAGCGCAGGCGCGCGCGCCGCCGGGGCGGAGCGCGGCGCCGCAGCAGAAGCAGCGGCTGGAGACGGCGGCCACCGCCTGGCCGATGAGCAGCAGCGCCAGCGCGGCGGCGCCCAGCCCGGTCGCCGCGTCGGGGCGGTACACGCAGTAGGTCCACTCCTGCCTCGCGTCCGTCTCCACCCTCGCCTTGCCGCCGGAGAGAGAGAGAGAGAGAGCACAGGAGCATCATCAGCATCAGCATTAGCATCAGCACAGAAAGTCAGTTCGTCGGAGGAGGGGGAGAGAGGGGGGCGCGCACCGATGGGCGGCTCTGCTCGGCGGCGATGGCGAGGCCGAAGGCGACGACGTCGACGACCAGGATGACGGCCAGCACCCTGGTGGAGTCGGCCATGATGGGGGCGCGCCGCGAAACCCGAAACCGGCGGCGGCGGCCGGAGATCTCAGATCACCTCGTCGTC